AAGATTTTGAAAAACATTACAGAATCGTGGATTTTTTGCTTGTTTTTTTCGACCATCTCAACTTTAGTGAAGTGTGTAAAGTGTGATGGAAAAATTACTTTTCAATTGTGCAAAAAGGAAGGTCTTGGATTCAACATCAAAGTTACATGTGAAAAATGTAAACAGCCTCGATTTATTCCCTCTGCTGAAAGAATTCAATCTGGTGTATATGAAATTAATTATCGATTTAGTTTTGTGATGCGAATTTTAGGTGGGATTAACTGGATGTGAAAAGTTTTGCGGCCTTATGGATTTGTCAAGTACATTTTTATCGAAATCAACATACAGTTTATATGTAAAGAAAATGTGCTCGAGTATAACAGATGTTGCGAATACATTTTTTTCTTCTGCTGTACAAGAAGAGAAGAAAGCAATGTGTGAAGCAAATAATATCGAAGATACATCAGAGTTAACTGTATCAGGTGACGGAACATGGAAAACACGAGGATTCTCTTCTTTATATGGCGTGGCTTCCTTGATTGGGCATTACACTGGAAAAGTTGCAGATATTTGTGTGAAGAGCGCTTATTGACATGATTGCAAAACTTGGTAAAACAAACTCGATTCTGAAGAGTGGCATGAAGCTCATGTAAATGAAGAAAAATGCCATGCTAATCATACTGGACGCTCTGGAAACATGGAAGTTGATGCAATTAAAATCATGTTTGAATGTTCAGTAAATCATGGAGTGAAATACCGCAATTACATCGGTAACGGTGACTCAAAAACGTACACCAGTGTCTTAAATTGTAAACCTTGTGGTGATGATTGTTTAATCAACAAAAAAGAATGTGTAGGGCATGTACAAGAACGAATGGGTAAACGTTTGCGAGATTTAGTGAAAAACAATGTATAAGAAAAACAAACAACGCAGAGAAAAATTATAAAAAGAAAGTCTTTCTGGCAAAAGTAACCTTACAGGTAAAATGATTGATAAATTAACTGTATATTATGGTCTAGCCATTCGACGAAATCATGATTCTGTGGAAAAAATGAAGGATGCCATTTGGGCAACTTATTACCACTACAGCTCGACAGATGACAATCCACAGCACCAAAAATGTCCAAGTGGCGCAGACTCATGGTGTGAATGGCAGAAAGCTACAGCTGAAGAAGATTTGGAGTCATTCAAACAGTTACACTGCACTTCCAAGTAAGGTTTTAGAAGCCATGAAGCCTATTTATGAGGACTTGAGTAAGGATACCCTTCTGGAGCGATGTGTTGCAGGCTTCACTCAAAACAATAATGAGAGTCTGAACCAACTCATTTGGAAAATTAGTCCAAAAATTATGAATGGTCCCTCAAATATTGTTGAAATCGGAGCAAATGTAGGAGCCTGCATTTTTAATGAAGGCTATTTTGCTTTGCTGACATTTATGCAAGAGATGGGTATCAAAACAGGGACAAATTCTCATGAATGGACGCGGACAGTAGACAACATTGGAATAAGCCGAGCTGAGCAAGAAGCTGCCAAAGAAAGCAAAGAAGGCAGAGTTCGACGTAGACAAGAGCAAAAAGATGCACTAGACATCTTAGCTGAAAGCCCTTCGTTTTATGCAGCTGGCATTGATGATTCAGTGTAAGTGTATTAAAAAAAACATTCATTTTGTGGTGTAAAAATCTATGAAACTTTTAAATGCGTGTTTCTCACACTTAGCTTTTTCAGAGTCGGTGCCCTTTCTAGCTCAAAATCTACCGCACCGATCCTTTTGAAATTTTGCATACTTTCTTTACATAAATGACGAGGTAACGCTGTCGAGTTTTTTATTTTTTTAATTTTAAGGTATTTTAAAATAACAAAATTTCCGATTTTTTTAATGAAAAATCGTTATTTTGACTTCTAAGTGCTGTAAAAAATTGAAAAATCAATAATAATAAAAAAACTCGACAGGGTTTCCTGCAGAAACTTATCAACTAAGAAAATCATTTTGGCTTTTTGATTTCAGATGATCCAGTGATGACTTATGAGTGGCACCGCAATCAAACTTTTTTTGAGAAGTCTGCGGAGATTCGCTGTTAATGACCCATTTCTTGATATTTATTAATGAAAATTTCACATAATATTCTTTAAATGTTACTTTATCATGTAGTAATTATAGAAATAAATATATATTGTGTCATTAAAACAAAAATTATCAAAAATATGCTTTTTTGTATTAACCCCTCCCCCCATAAGGTTTGACCACATTAATGTATGGTGCTGTTTTGAAATGTACACAAGGTGTTACTTTGATTGAGGGTTGTTTTTAAACGGGGATTTTGACCCTTAGAAACACGTATGTGTATTCTCTCAAATTCTGTCATGAAAATTTATTCCTTTGTAAACTTTCATACCCCGCTGCTGGACAAGCTAGTATGACAACAATAGCGCCTATTAGTCGCAGTGCATATACATTTGGAAACTGCGGTGTACATTGTTGTCAAATCTCATAATTTAAAGAAAACAGCTTTAAATATATCTAACTATAATATAATAACATACGGTTATTAAAATTTATATAGGATACTGGTTAATCAAAATAAAAAAAATTCTATACTGCTACATTTTCAAGATTAAATTTTTTGTTGACGTAGATAAATGAAACTTGGGCTGAATTTGCATACAATAGGGTTGTTGACAATAAAAACAAACCATACACAAATTGTTGTTGATATAAAGATTTTATATAAAAGAACTTGTCTGTATAGTAAAATTTTAAATATATGACAAATTAGTGGTAGAAATTATTTACAAATTTTTGCGTTACTTAAAAACTAGTCTGGGGCTTGATTTTTGAAAACGGGAGAATTAGTTCTTTAGAGAAAATTACGTCATTTTCTCTTGACACACAGATAATGTGATTTTTGAAATTTTCTTGTGGAATATTTTCTCTAGATATCAAGAGAAATAATTCCACAGGGTTTTGTCGGGGGAATTGGCGTTTTCTCCGAATAGTTTGAATCCAAATGTCATCTCATGCTCATGCGCGAAAAGTCACTTCATTCATTCGCTGTTCGAAGGTGCGTAATCATTTGAAATTTGTAATGGATCCAAATAATTTATTATTAATTCTAAATATAATGAATAATTTGCAAGCTGCAGAAATTGTGAACCATCCGCGACAACATTAATTAAACCATTTAAAGTTTCAGCAATATCTGACCACTGTTCTTGGGCCTTTTTGTGAGTAAAAGTAGAAGAAAACTTTCATTTTAAAAAGTTCTTCGTTGTTTCTAAGCATATTAATTTCTTTTTTGCGCTTTCGACGTGAATGAACGCTTCATCATAATTATAATAATATTAAATTTTTTGTGTTTTCAAATATACCTCTATTCAAATTGAAGTTATATTAAATTAATACGAATATCATGGAGATGTATAGTCTCCCTGTCGAATATAATGACATTTACAAAACAAACTTTAAAATCAAATCAAGCGACTAAACATCAGGGTCGCCAATAATGGCACTGAAATATTGAAGAAAACTCTGCCCGCTGATTGGTCAGTTGCAAATATATCCTCGACATACGGCATAAATTAAATTCTCTAGAGAATTGGATTCCTTCAACGTTCAAAAATAAGTGTTTAAGTTTTTAAGAGAAATTTGTCAGGTGAATTTTTTCTCTGGAGAAGCAGTTCTCCCGTTTTCAAAAATCAAGTCCCTGGCGTCATAAGGGGCAATTGAACAAGAAGCTAGTAGCGATCCTATTGCATAATTTTGAAGGAGAAGAAAATATGTCAAAATTGTCCGTCAAACCCTGTTTTGATTAATTAATATAGTTATTATTAATTTCCTGATTGTAATGGATTCAACAAAATTTAAGTGGTGTTTTGTTCCACATTCCACATAGCCATTTGCATTATCTCCTTAAGACTTCCGAACTGCACTATAATTTTCCATAAATAAATAGGTATGGATTTTATAATATAAAATATCTATTTATATTATTTTGTATTTATTTTTTTTTATATTATAAATAAACACAATAAAATCATTCATTAAATATGTTGATCCTTACCTGACTGCTGATATATCTCTGATTTTGCCAATATTAAAACGATCGTCTCTTTTTAAAAATTCAATTCATCATAAAAATATAAATTTTTGGTACTTGTGAAGTAGCTTTCACAAATCCCGTTTCACGCATTCTGCTTTAATACTAAGGGAAGATATTAAATGATTATTACTAAATAATAATTTTACTTAATAAAGGAATTCGAAGATTAAGGAAAATAACTCGTAGACTTGAAAATATTTTATGTGACAGTGTCACTGACCGACTGACACTACTGACAGTGTTGACAGAGCATCTTCTTCTTCCAATATTTTTCCTTTACGCAATCATTTACACATAATTTTACTACAAGGTGCCCCTTATGACGTCACAGCCGTTTTGAAATATTGTAAAAAAAAATCAGTTTTAAATAATTATTTCAAAACTGTTCTGACGCATTTGTCAATCTCTAATTGTGCATACATACTAGTTAGTAGGTACATATAGAATTATATTATCTACTTTTTGAAATTTGGTCAACAACCCTATTATATCAACCAATGGTAACAATACTAGAATGCCTGAGAACCTTAGAATTTCAACATCACTGGTTAATACAATTGTATGTAAATTCATTAAATAAATAATTGTTTACTTAGTTAAGTCACGTGGGTAAATTTTATTAATTTGTCAAATGTCTGTCAGAGATATTTTTCTAATTTAAAATTTTGTAAAAAACTTAAAACCCTTTATTTCGAAAACGAAACATTTTTAGATTCATGTTTACAGAACAGTGTTTGTCATTTTGACTAAGTATGAGTGGCTAATTTTACTCTTATTTTCAACTTGCTTGTTTATTTTTATACTGAAACTCGATAAATAAAAAATGTAAATATTTTTCATTGAAACACAATTTTTTTAGGGTTCAAATGGGGGCAAAATGAATAATAAAATTAATGGAAATTAGCTAATTAGAGGTAATTACCGTATAGCTTGTTCTCTTTGTGCTTTTCTCACTTCAGGTCTTTGATTTCTTTTAGCCAAAATGTCATTTAAAGAAGCCCCAACAATAGCCCTTTGAAATTTTTGTGTTCTTCGTGTTCGTTTTTTGGTAGCTTCTTCCTCCTGTCCCTTTTTATGTTTTCTCCTATAAAGCACCGTCCATGTAACTTTTCGAGGATTCCTTTTCATAAGATGAGCATGTTCACATTTAGAATTGAGGAATGTGAAACACTAAAATAACAATGTTAAAAGTATATATTTTTAAAATCTGCTGAAAGTAAAGCAAATTTTTATTTCACACAGAGGAATAAATAGAAGATTTAAATGTAAATTACTATTGCGTAAAATGCTCAAATCGTCACAAAATTTAAAAAAAATACCTATGTATTTAATATAACTTAGTTCAATCCGCTGTACTCAAGGATATGTTCATACCTTTTTGATGGCCTTTGCTGAGCAATATATTTTAATAAAAAATAATACTTATTTCTGCTGAACAATAATACCCTCGATAATACCTCATTTACTATGTTCAATTATTATTAAAATACATGTTGGCCAAATAAATATATAAGTTAAAAGAATAAATGTTTTTTTATTTAAATTATATAAATTTTATTTTTCTGCTGCTCTTTACACTGCGTTCCCCTTTTAAACAAATTAATTTTAACAATTGATACAGGATATGATTTTGAACAAATTCAGATTGTGTCATGTTATCCATTGTTTTCTGTTCACAGTTCATGACATGTAAAAATTGCTTCTGTGATAGAGTTCAAATCACCGTTGATGTGAGCGACACATAACACTACACTTGATGGCACTCGTATTTATAAAAATTCAAAGTTGGGAAGAAGGGCCCATAGATAATTCAGAGCCATCTCTATTCTTGTTTATCTGACCGTCTGAATGGTAGTAGTAAAAAATTATCAATTTAAAATATTAAATCGGAATTTTAACTCTCTGCCCAACAAAAAAATATATACCTCGTTCAAATCACCATGTTCACAAAACATTAGAGGTATATCAGTCATAGGAACTTAAGGCAATATAAAATTATAACTATTCTGGGGTAGGAAAAATTTGCTAACGATTTGGGTATTTTACACTATAGTGTATATAATAAATATATAAATAATTATACAAGAAACCACATCACCTAATATTCACGCTTCCATATACTTTATATGCAATAAGTACAGATATAAAAAATGTATGTACACAATACATTATATACAGGGCCAAATTATCGATTAGGCAACAAAGGCAGTTGCCTAGGGCGGCAGTCTGATAGGGGGCGGCAAAAAAATACAAATTAATTCTAATAAAGAATGTAGCATAAATAAAAATTTAACAATGTATCTTACAAACAATAGAGGAGTGAATTAAATACATTAAAATTCTTCCTTAACGAATTCAGTAGGGGGAATGGAACTTTCTAAATACTATCCCGTGTTCCATGCCTTTTCTGCTTATTTTTAAGTCTACAGTTCTAATAAAATTTCAAACAGTATTTTTGTGATACTGTTGTTTTGTGTTGCTATAACAATTTAGTCCACGGGCCCACGTACAAAGAAAAAAATGATTACCAGCAAGCTGTAACTTTGCGTGCAGCTTAAGTTTGACGAGTCTCCCAAGATTTGACTACGAGGAAAATTCAACAGTGGTAATTCTTCCCGTGATTTTCAGGAAAACATGTCAATCTGGCATAAACATGGAATGTTATGACCAGCACTTTTTTTTAAGTTTAAATGATACATATTTTTTTAAACCCCCCAAAAAATTTGTCCGACAAAAATGTTGGTATTTTGAGTTTGTCCCCCACCCCAAATGTCGATTTGGTGACATTATGGTTGGTGACAACCTGCAAGCTGATTTTTCTGGGAGGGTTTGGTAATAAGATTTGAAATGAAAGTATCTTATTGTCCGACAAAATTCTTGAGAAGTTTTTGCAGTCCGACGCCCCGAAGATGGTTGGTGACAACCAGCAATATGGTTTTGATTTTTTTCTCTAATAATTGAAATGTATAACACAATAATATACTTGTCCGCCAAAAATATTGGAAAATTTGCCTTAAAAATGGGAAAAATAACTATTTTTGCGGTACCTAATGTTCATTCCGATATAAAATAATTAATTTTTTAATGAAAAAATAAAGAATAAATAAAAAAATTATCTTGTTAATAGGAGCAACAGAAATTGAAATCCATAAATAATTATGTCTAACTAATTTAATTAATCTCCATCATAATGATTTCTTTGTTTAAAAAACTTATATGTACATTTCATTTTATAAACTATTGTAACTATTTTATAAAAAATGGTAACTGTACAATGAATGCATAAATTTTTGCTTGTTTTTTTAAATTAAAATTTGCAATCTTGTTTTGACAAACAGTTTACACATAGTTTTGTTCTTGAAAAACCAATTAAACCAATTTTAAACCAATGTTAAAAATATTATTATACATTTATCTACGCGTTTATTAAAAGATTGTCTTGTTGTAAAGTATAAATCCTTAATGTGAAATGACTTTGCAGCATTTAAAACCTGCTGCTAAAGTTCTTAACAGGTGTTTATAGTTTCTCCATAAACAACTGATTTCATGTAACCCCAAAAACGGAAATCTCGGAATTCCATTTCACATTTATGTACATACAATTTAAATTAAGATGTAATTTTAGGTACAAATAATACTTAATGGACAGTAGCATACAAATGACAGCAATAAGACAAGTGGAATGTCAATTATTTGATTTTCGTCCAAACGTAAGACTTCACAGCTAAATTAATAATAGGTAGGTACTGCATTGTAATTTAATTCAACAGCATTGGATGTTTCAAAGCCAAATATCTCAAAAACGGTGCGAGACAGCTAGTTTTATAATGTGTAGCTTTTTAGTGTAAAAAAAGTTTTAAAATAAGAATTTGATACCAAAGATGAGATACCTTAAAGTATAAAAAAGTTATGTCGTTTTTAACACATTTAATCTACTGCAGCTAGCGCCCTCTATGAACTTTAACCAAAATGTGAACACATTTCAATTCCTCTACTTAAAGAACTTCAAACCTCAAAATTTTGTGAGGATATTTGCAATTTTTAAGGAAATGAAAAAAAAAACTAAAATAATATTTTATATTTAACACCCTGTATCTCTTTAACTATCAACTTTTGGACTAAGGTAAGTTCGGCTAAATCGCAATATTTGTGCTTCGAGAATCTACCTATGAATTTCGACCTATTAGCTAGGGACCACCCTGTATACAATCTTTTTGTAATTGTATAAAAAAATTAATTTAAATTAGTCATATTTATTTTGAAATATGAGAAATTTAAACAAAATTTTTTTTATTCATATTTTTTTTTATTAAATATAAATTTTTCTTCTACATCATGCGTAAATATTGAAACCGCAAAATTTTATCGTTTAATTTTGTCGGACAAGCAAAAAAAAAACCGATAATTTTGTCGGACAATTAAATTCTGATTAATATTGCATTTTTTTAAATAATGACGCTTTTGTCCGACAGCTGGTTATCACCAACCATGTCGTCATTAAGTCGACATCTTCGGGGCGTCGGACTGCGAAAACTTCTCAAGAATTTTTTTTTCAGACAATAAGATACTTTCATTTTTGTCGGACAAATTTTTTGGGGGATTTAAAAAAATATATCTCATTTAAACTTAAAAAAAAAGTGCTGGTCATAACATTCCATGTTTATGCCAGATTGACATGTTTTCCTGAAAATCACGGGAAAACTTACCAGTTGAATTTTCCTCGTGTCAAATTTTGAGAGACTAGTCAAAGTTAAGCAGCACGCAAAGTTACAGCTTGTTGGTAATCATTTTTTTTTCTTTGTACGTGGGCCCATGGACTATTATAAATAAAAATGAGTAGTAAATGCCATTTGGAAAAGAGGACCTATTTAATTCTTGACATTGCGCACAATTAGGATAGTTTAGGCTGCCTGTGGTAAATCATCTAGGATAGAGTGCTACAGAGACAATTTGATGAGCTATAATTTGTGGCATAGTTAATACATAAATTGGCAGTGTTTCATTTACCTCAAACTCAGCTATTCTCAACTATTCTAAATGCTGTTCCAATTAGGTAAATAAAACATGGCCATCTGTCACTCTCTGATTTTACGGCTATCTTGTACTGTACACTATAATTAATTAATGAATGATCACGGTAATTATTTACTTTAGTGGCACCACCTCCAATTTTCACGAAATTTTGTCTACCCCCCTATTTTCGATGGTGCTGAACACGAATCTGTAGTTTCTTTTGTGCGGTCGAACCTAGTTTTCAAGGAAAAAATTTTTCAAAATTCTAACCTGGATATTTCATATAACAGTACGTAGAACTCTGTATATTTCATGTAGCTTTCCAGAACATCTGTTATGAACAATTAACACTGTTCATGAAACACATTTTCGTAAATTTCAAGTAAAAAGATATGTATTTAATAAATAAAAATTTTGTAGTTTGAATCCGCCATTTGTAATTCGTGATGACAACATTGAGTTCCCCCACTCTCATTCAACTCTGTTTCATCCCACATAAAGTCACGTCACTACTATTTTATTTATTAAATACATATTTTTTTAGTTCAAATTTGGGAAAATGTGTTTCTTAAACAATGTTCATTGTTTATTACAGATGTTCTGAAAGCTACATAAAATATACAGAGTTCTACGTAGTGTTATCTGAAATATTCAGGTTAGAATTTTGAAAAATTTTTTTCTCAAAAACTGGGTTCGACCGCACAAAAAAAACTTCAGATTCGTGTTCAGCACCATCGAAAATAGGGGGGGTAGACAAAATTTTGTGAAAATTGGAGGTGGTGCCACTAAAGTAAATAATTACCAAAATTAATAAGTTCAAGAATTTGTAATAGCTGTTTTACATTGACAATTTATTCATCAATTAATTCACGAATTTACTGGCAAAAAGTGTGGTTGGTTTTACACTGCTACAGACTTTGTCAAGTTTTTTGACGTTTGAATCAGTTCTACCAATGAATCAAAGAAGCAAATAAGTTTCAAAAATGTTACCTTTCCACTCATAATTGTAGTGATACAACAGCGGTACCGTTCTGACACATATTGGGTTGATACTTCCGAACTTCACGAAAATTTGAACATGCTCTAATTCGTCAAGAACTTCTTGATGAATAAATTGATGGTTATTTGACAGCTGATTTGGTGCATTACACTTGTCCAATTGATCAATAAATTGTTAATGTAAAACAGCCATTATTGAATTTTTATGGATCTTTCTACAGATTTTGTAATTTGTGTTAGGGGTTTCTACCGATTTTCTCAGATGGACCACGTCTACGAATATGTGTATCCACAAAGTTAATATCATTGGTTTTATACATTCATAGGTTCCTCAAAAATTTTTTTTACTGTTTGTTCATCTCGAAATTTTGTACTACAATTAAATATAATTTTACTTGAATGAATGAAAACTAGCGACATTTATAAATACTAAAAATAATTATATACAAACCTTTCCGTCGACTTTTACCATTGTCTTTCCATGGCCTGGATAAATTTTATAACCACTATAAGCACATAAACCGATCCTAAAATATTAAGAAATACGTATGTTAATGGATAAATTACGAAATTGCAAAATGTATAAAATGATCAAATGGTAAATATATTATCGGATGATTAATATAAAATTCAATTGTGAAAAATTATTAAAACTTACTTCATATTGAACACTTCAACCCAACAACCTAATGTCAAGGTCAAGAAAAAGAACCATAGACCATAAAACAAGTATAATATATGAATCTTGTTTTAATTTTATTGATACCAACATCGAAACACAACTTATATTTAAAGGACAGCTGGCTCCCCCATTATGTCTGGCTATGAGAAAATTGAATTAACACTGAAATCACAGAATAGTGATCCAAGGTCTCTAAAAATGGGATGATGCCCATTGTGCCCATATACTACTGATCTCCTTGGCACCACTTCGCCAATGAACTGATAAGTGACATCATCGATGTTATAAATCGAATAATATCCACGACCATTATTGTTATGATTGCTAATAAATTAAGTAAATTAGAGTTTTCCTGTGTCCTGTATCATGTTCTTCAATTTTTTTTATTGTCAGCGAGTTCTTTAAATACTATTGAGCTCGCAAACTTTTATTTAAAACTATGTCAAGTTCTAGTTCTGGGGGCGAAGAGTAATGCAAGGAAACATGGCGCTCCCAGTCATCGAAACCACCCATGATCTGGAGGCGGCAATCCTCTCCCTTGAGACTGACATTAAAAACGCCCTGACTCAGACTACGACGGAGACTATTGTCCCCCGACTGACAAACCCCCGGGGCACCCTCCCCGATGACATAAAAAACTTAATACGTGACAGACGACGTGCGAAACGGCTTGCCACCCGCACCCGCCTCCCCCGACACAGACATGACTTAAACGTACTTAACAGACGGGTGAAGGCGGCTCTGGATGAACTGGCCCAGGATAACTGGGCTAGGCACCTGGAGTCGCTGGATCCACAAGACAACAGCCTCTGGAAAACGCAGAGGGCCCTGCGACAGACCGCTCGCCGTAAAATTCCTCCAATCCACGGTAGTGTGGGGGTGGTTTACACGAACCAGGAAAAGGCCGAGGCTTTCGCCGATAGCCTGGAACTGCAGTGTAGACTGCCTCAGCTGCCCGACGAAGACGAGGAATTCGAGATAGTGGCTGAGCGCGCGGCCCGACGCGTCGACAGAGAGCCAGACAATGACATAATCCCCCCCGCAACACCTGACGAACTAAGACTGACAATACGCAGACTTAAAAACAGAAAAGCCCCCGGACCCGACAATATACATAACACGACACTTAAACGACTACCACACAAGGGCCTCATGGCCCTACTAAACATAACAAACGCGACACTCAGACTAAGACACTTCCCTACCCGCTGGAAAACAGCAAACATAATCCTTATCCCAAAACCCAACAAAGATCACACCATCCCATCCAACTACCGGCCCATTAGCCTGCTCCCGGCTATGAGCAAAGTGGTAGAAAAAATTATCCTAACCCGTCTAAGAACCCACTCCCAAGAACTGCAAGTCATTCCAGACGAGCAGTTCGCCTTCCGACCCAATCACTCCACTGAACTCCAAATCCTTCGCCTTACCGAGCACATCACGGCGGCCTTCAACAGGGGACAGTACACTGGTGCTGTCTTCCTGGACGTCGCAAAGGCCTTCGATACGGTTTGGCATGAAGGCCTACTGATGAAAATGCTCACCAACCAATATCCCATATCCTTTACCAAACTCATAAAATCCTACCTACACCACCGAAAATTCCGCATCCAAATCCAAGATTCCCTTTCCACCACCCGTCCCATGGAGGCCGGTGTCCCCCAGGGCACCGTCCTGTCCC